AAAATGCCCAGTTAAATTTGAATTTCAGATAAGCAATGGTGAAGTTCGTGTCTAGAGGTACCCCCAAAGGCTCATGCAGGGGCCAGGTGTGGGGTCTCATGTCCAGCACTTGAGAGGCTGAGGCAGGAGGAATGCTTAGAGTTTGAAGCCAGCCTGGGCTACGAAGTCAGACTGCATAGTGAAACCCTGTCTCAAAAAGACAAAACAAACAAACAAACAAAAAAAAGCTTCATACAATTGTGGGGAGCTTTTCAGAAGTGGCTGAACCTAGAGTATGTTGTACTAGGATCAAGGCTATGTGATTACTAAATCAGTCCATGGATTGGTTTGGCATAGTTCTGGCTAGGATTAAGGGTATGAGTGCCACCACCTACCCCAGATCAGGTAGCCTGCATACAATATAAGGAGCGAAAGAGGGCTAATGTGTTTTTGCCTGCCTGCTTGCTGTAGACTATTTCTTCTCTGTGGTGCCCCTTTGCCCTTTAACTTGTGGGAGTCAGGTATTTTGTCTCGGCAAAGAGAAAAGTAACTAAAACAAACTATCCCAAATATTTCTTTGGAAAATACAGTAAAAATTTACTCATTGTCTTCATGGCAGTCACATGTTTCTGGGCACCCTATATTTATCAAGTTGCTAAATCCAGGAATCCTGAAGGGTAGACGTTAGGGTGGGAATAATTACTGAATGGAACATTGTAGAATGTAAGAGTGGAGGTGAGTGACTAGTCTTTAAAGATAGGTACTTGTGTGTGGTGGCTGTTCACTAAACATTGTGGAGGGAAGGGGAGGTGGGAGGTAGTAGTAGCACAGTGTGCAGGTACCGTCAGCGGTGCCAGGTCCTTGAAGGATCAGAGGAGAAAGAAAGCCAGGATCCACTGGAGAAGGTGATACTTGAGTAGTACCTTGAAAGTGGCACCTCCTATAAAAGGGGAAAGATAAGGGCAGGACCCTTAAGAGCAGCAGCATGAGATTTCAAAGGTGGGAAAGTGGTGGGGCAAGTAGTTGGGAGGTGTTTGGAGCAGACCACAATATGTGTGAAGAAAAACTAGGCAAGGGGACATTACAGTACCCTGGGGCTATCTTCTGGTGCTTATTCAGTGGTTAAGGGGGAGGGTAGGGTTATTATTTCTCATTATGATCAGGGATATGAAATTTTTAGTTTTTTTAATTTGCTGTGAGGCATGTGCCAGATTATTTACATATAAAAGAGTTATTTTTGTAAAATTAAAACCTCAAGGGTAGTATTTTCAAAAAACAGTAGTAAAATTGAAATAGTCATTTTAATGGAGGAATATAGTGAACACAAATGGAGCAAAAGATGCTATATGTTTAAGGCTCTTAGTTTGTGAGGATACAAATTTAGTACACATGGCAACAAAGGTAAATTGTACATTTTTCTTCACCTATTCAATGCTTCCTCTAGTCATAGATGCCCCTAGGTCTGCAGCATTACAAATATGGTGGGGGGGGGCACAATTAATAGAAATAAGAGACTAGAGCCAGGGATTTAGCTCAACGATATAAGTTCCTGCCTGGTAAGTGCGAGGTTGTGAGTTCGATTCCCAGTACCAAAAACAAATAAACAAATGAAAAGAAATAAAGACAATAGAATCTTAATTCTGGTAGGTGAATTCCAAAAAAACCCCCAGAATTTAGTGGTGTGAGTAAAATCTAAGATAGATCCCAACTGAATGACATAAAAACACATTAAACATAACTAGATATATGGCCACTTTGATCTAAACCACAGGGAAATATCCAGAAAGTTAAAGCTTGCAAAGTATGTTCAGATAACAGTGCTTTTACAGAGGAGGACAGATGTAAAATATGTCAGTGAGGACAATCTGGCGAGCAGGCCTCTGATGCCTGGACCTGTGTCCCTGTTGTCTTTATGGGGTAGTTTAAAAGATTAAGCACCTGAAAGGAAATATAGTGCTTTGGTTTTGTTTTCCATTTTGTAACGTTATTTTTATTTGTCTACCTCCTTGACTTCAGGTACTCTCCGGTGTGTGCCAAAGATATGGCACCATGCCCATTTCTTTGATATTCCAGAGCAAAACTCCTTGCTGGTGGGGTTCCTGCCATTTATCCTGGAAGACTATAAACACACAAATCCTAAGTAATAAAAATTATAATCCCCACAGGACACAGTTGAGAGATCCTGGAAGTATATTACTGAAAGCCCTTGTGTGCAACTGTACATTACAAATGACAGACATTGGTTTTCTGATTAACACAGGATTGCGATGTTGGATTTCTTGTTAGCAAAATGTTCTTGTTTAGCATCAGACCTGCTCAGTCTTTACAGCCCATGGATGGTCAGGCCTGTTTTTTGTTACCACAGAGGAATCCCTGGCCTCTTCTGAGAACTATTTAGTGAGAAAACCATGGGCCCAAGAGAATGAGTGTGGAGGCCTCCAGAGAGGGGAAGGTGACTCTGGTGGGCACCATATCTGGGCAGGGTCACTATGGGTCAGGCCGCCTGCACTGGAAATTTGCCCTTAGAGCAGAGACGGGCTGCTCTTAAAAGAGTTCACCATAAATCTCTCCTTCTCCTGGTGGCTGAAAGCTCTGTTACCCATTTCTCACCTATCTTTCCTTAGGGGAAAGATAAGGGCTTAAGGGCTCTTCTTCCTTTCCTTCATGTACAGAGTTGGTGGCCAAAGTGCAGTGAGATACAGTTCAGTGAAAACTATGGCAAGTGATAGTATTTAGTTACAACCTGAAATCTTGAGTTGAAATTTTTTTTCTGCTGTTTGGGCATGATCCTGAGCATAGCACTTAAGCAATGCAAGCTTTGGTTTTTTCATTCATAAACTGAATATTCATGTTTTATATATTATCTATCTGATGAAATTATTGTAGATTAAATGAAAAATTTTAAATGAAAGTCTATCCTAGGTCTATCATGATGAATGTGATTATTATTTAAAAGCCCAGTGGTTCTTCATATCTAGAAGAATATTGGATTCCTATTCAGAGTCTTACCGAATAAAAACCAGTAGTAACCTGCTTATTTGAATTTTTATGATGAAGTGGAAAAATAAGATTAAATTCTTGAGGAATCTCCTGACTGTTGAGTAAATCTTATGCATTTAAAACAATTGTCACAAAATAAGTATTTTAAAGTGATATATAATGATTCCTGAAAAATACCTGAAATCCCCATCCAAAAGGGGATTTATTTATTTATAAAAATAAATGTTTAAGTATGTAATTTATTCTACATGTCTGATCTTAAATGATTAAGTAATTTGCATACTGTTTTCAGTGGCATGAATTAAAGGCTAATTGAAGTCTAATTTTTTTGCAGTAAAGTTATATCATCTTTTATGTAGTGCCGTTTAAAATATTCTAGGCCAGTTCTAATTTTATAGTTTTATTATTTTAATTTGATGTACCAACTAATTAAAAATTGCTGCAAAGAAAAGATGAAAATGATTTTAGTTAATTTCCCCTCCACAGTGTTCAGTGACGGTAAGTGAAGACAAATGGAACTGAGCTCAACACAGTTCTTGGAATATAAAGATATTCATTAATTGTTCCTGAATGAATAAAGAATGAATAATTTTCAAGTATTTCTAGACTTTGGGGAAAGGCACCATTCTCAGTGCAGTCTAAAATACAAAGAAAATAGATTGACATTTTTATATTCAAAGACTGCAGCAGAGGTCATATAAGCCAGTTGTTACTGACCAGTAGATCCTTGGGTTGCTCTGCTAACCCTTTGCTCCTGCAGTAGATTCTCAAGTCCTAGTCAGTTATGGATATTGAGAGATCATTTTCCATGGGTGTCTTGCATTTCTGTGCAAGCAGAGGCGCTGTATGTTCTTTGGAATGCCTCTTCAAGGATTTCTGAGAGAGAGAGAGAGAGAGAGAGAGAGAGAGAGAGAGAGAGAGAGAGAGAGTGAGTGTTTTACTGAGGATTGAACACAGGGTCCTCACACTTTTTCTTTTCTAATTTTTTTTTAGTGTTGAGACAGGGTCTTTCTAAGTTTCTCAGGCAAGGCTTGAACTTGAGATCTTTCTGCCTCAGTCTCCCAGAGTGCTGGGAATACAGATATGTGCTACTAGGCCTGGTTCAATGGTGTTTATCTGTGGCAATGGCTGTGGAAGAGTTGTGGCAGAGATAGGCTCCCTCTAGAACAAACTGCAGTTTGCTTATAGCCTGGGAAGGTAAGAGACAGTGTTTCCCTCCAGAACAAAGGGCAGATTACTGTCCAGTTTAAAAAGGTGCTTATTGCCCACTGTAGAAGGTTTGGGTTTTTTCAATCAGGGATCCTGTACTGTTAAGTAAACATTGCCTTTGTAGGTATTATTGTGTCTGCCAGTGGAAATTGGAATGTAGGACAATGGTGTAGAAAATGCAGTTTTGTTTCTACTGTTACTGCACCTGCGGAATAAACTGCTCTTTGTCTCTCACTGGAAGTGAAGGAGCATCCTAGGGTTAGAGGTAGAGATGGAAAGAGAAGAGAACCTTTGGCTGAGAGTGCTTCCTAAGGTTACGAAGCAGGCAATAACCTTTACTCGATGGGTGAATGGATGAAGATGAACAGAATAGAAGAAAGAATAAGTTGATGGAGGAAAGACAATCCCATGAAGCCTCATAGCAGCTTAAAGCCAGTCATGTTGATTGAAGGCTAACTCACAGTATCGGCAAGTACTGTGTTGAAGTGTATTCACTTTTTTGTTTTTTGTCTGAGCCACAATGATACATTTTTATGAGTACTCTATGCCTTCTTTTGGTTGCTCACCTTGAGTGCTTTTCCGTAGGAATAGACGTGATGGCAGTAGGGGTGTTTCTGGTCACTCAGAATTGTGGCCCTGGAAGTCTTAGCACTCTGAGTCCCTCAGAGTTTGAATGTGCTAATGCCACTCAATAGGACAAGCCTTTCCCCTGCTTCCCTGTGGCAGGAAAGCATTTAGGGTTGTTCCTGAGATATTGTATAACTTCTTGTTAGCTTCGTGATAAAGCAATTGCATTGTCCTTTATGCTACAGGTACTTTCATTCGGCGTCATCGAATTGCTCTCCCCGCTCCTAATGATGATCAGTTTTATACCGTGTATGATTTCAATATCAACATTGACATCATCTTCTATGGCCGAACATTCAAGATTTATGATTGCGATAAATTCACAAAAAACTTTTTGAGAAAAATAGGAGTCAAGTTAAATCCCCCAGGACAACGTCCAGAAGATCCCTATTTGAAAATGCGGAAAGAGGTAAGAAATTGTATTTGTGAATTCTTGTCTTCATAATAAGAATTTTTTATAGCCAGGAAAGGGTGTTCATGGAGATGTGAAAGAGCTTTTGGAGCTATAGTTGCTCTAGTTGTCCTTCTTTCCCTTTGGGATGGAAAGAAAAATGAGTATTGGCTTCTCAGTGTAAGAGTGACACCCCCTTCTCCCAGTTCTTTCTGTGGAGTCTCTTGCAGGGTGTAAGGCTATTCAGTGAACCACTTCGTTTGGACATTTCTAGGAGCCAACAGTTGGCTTCGTGATAACCAAGAGTGTATGAGCTGGGCCAACACTTCCTTTCCTTGTCTTTTCCAGTTTTGACTGCCTAACTCTGGGAAAAAATTAGTGCTCACTTCGTTAGTACAGATACTAGCATCTGTACTACTAATTTAGCGAACCCAGGCTTGTGTCTACCTTCTTTCTTCCTCCTCTGGACTCCCAGCTCCTCTTATGACGGCACCACACGCTGAGGTGCTTGGGAAGAGTGAAAAAAGCAGCAACTGTGATGTCCCTGTGTTATGAAAGGATGCTTGGCCTCAAAATTGGACGCTGCTTAGCGTAAGGAGTAAAGGCTCAATTTTATTTTTGTATTTTGTGTCTTTTTGTAGTTTTTAAAATGATTCCTTAACCCAAGTTTTTATATTTTCCAGAAGAATCTGGATCCCCAAAGGGAAGTGTCATGTGGAAGATCACACACCTAGTCAGTCTCCTTGCTGGGACTGGAATGCAAATCTCATGGCTCTTACCTTGATTTCCATGACCTTTGTTTGTTTCTCTTTTCTTTTTTAATTGACATATGGTTACACACAGGAAAATATAAAGTCACTAATATATTGTTAAATGAGTCTTAACAACTTACATATGCTCACATAACATGCCCCTAAATCAAGATGTTGAACATTCCCATCTCTTTAGAAAATTTTCTTATGCATTTTTCTAATCAGTTCCTTTTCTGACCCAGGGATAACTACTGTTTTCATTTTTATCCTTACAGATTAGTTTCATCTGATTTTTTTGTTTATTTGCTTGTTTTTTGAGATGGAATCTCATTATGTTGTTCATACTGGCTTTGATGAAACTCACTGTGATTGTCGGCTGGCCTGGAATTTGTGGCTGGGATTATAGGCATGTGCCACAATGCCTGGCTGATTTTTACTGTTTTAAAAACATGTAATCTATTTCCTTGCAAAAAGATAACACAATTTGGAATAAAATACTTAGATTTGTGTTTGATCTCTTGTTAAAGCTGCCTTATATGATTATTAATCTATACCTGCCTCTTAGCCTCCAAGTTATTCTTTAATGTCATAGGCACAGAACTTTTTGGTGTATCTAAGGTACAATGTGTGTATATTGGTATATTAAGAGATCTTTTGATTTGAGTTCATTTGTATGTTTTTCTAAACCCCCTTATCAATAAATGCAGTCTTTAGAACTACCAGAGAGAACCTTAAGAAAATGGATCCATATGAACTACCACCCCCTCACATGTAGCTACCCTCGTTCACTAACAATTGATATTATATGATAGTGGTTGAGAATAATATATTAGATAAATTACCAAAGCACAGTGAGATTGCATAGGATTATAAAAGAAACCCAGCTTTGTGCCAGGAATTGAGAATAAGTACCAAGTATAGCCAAAAAATTTTTTTAAGTAGTTTCCTTTCCAATTGGGTGAATTGTTTTAACATTTATTTCCCCAGAGAGAAAACTCTTTAATAAATATAGAAGCCTTTGGAAAATTAGGAGTTTAATAAGAAGCTTTTATATTGACTTTTATGCATTTAGTTCTTTAGTGTTTGCTGCCTTGAAATATAAAGTTAAAATTAAACTTAATCTGAAAAGAATCCCAGTGGTATATAATCAATAATACATTTATTAAGAAATCCTTGTTTTTGTACCGGGGATCAAACTCATGACCTTGTACTTGTCAGGCAAGTGCTTATTCTACTGAGCTAAATCCCTGGCCCTATTAAGAAATCTTATAATACCAAAGAGATAGTTTTTAATTACTGGAAGTCTAGGTCCTGTCACATCAAGAATCATGATGTAGGACTTCTGGAAAACCATTGTGTGTTTTAATCTGGTGGTCCTCTTCCCCGCAACTGAGGGTAAGACTACATAGACTATTTTTTTTTTTGAGGGGGTACCGGGATCAAACTCACAACCTTGTATTTGCTAGCTAGGCGCTTATACTGCCGAGCTGAAACCCCAGCCCCCAAATCCACAATTTCAAGAATTTACGGAAATGATTACATAGCTTGATTTGGGACAATACCTCCCTTGCCAAATGTGTCCTTCTTTATACAGCGTAACAGTTGTATGTGGCTTCATTACATAGACTGGGGCCAATTCTACTCTAAGACAGAGCAGAGATGTGAGACAGAGCCACACCACAGAAGTTGCGATGCTCACATTTCCGAGGCAGAGGGCACTGAGGCAGGCTTTTATGTGGACAAGAAGCCCTTCATTTTCTCTGTTCCCGTTTCTACTGAGCTTTCATATTCTTGGTATTGAAAGTTTTTGAGCAAAATTGAACCATAAATACATTTTTTTCCTTTTCCCTTCACAAAAATCTGAATAAGTAATAAGCATATACTCATTCATATAAGCATATAAGTATGAATTTCTAGTAAACAAGGGGAGTTTTTTTAGTTGAGATACAATCAACATAGTCAGATACGCAAATCCTAAAGCACGTAGATCAATGAATATTGAAAAATGTATACAACTGAGTAACCAGTGTGAAAGTCAAGCTGTCACGTATTTTGGATTATGGATATAGCTCTGGGGGAGATGTGTACGGCCCTGGATTTGATCTGTAGTACCCCTCCTCCCATGTAGAATACTCCCTTCACTCCAGAAAGCACCCTAGAAAGTTCCTTTGTTCTTATCTGTCAAAGCCCTTACCCAGAAGCAATTACTGTTCTGGTTTTGGTTACCATAGTTAGTTTTGTTTTAATTTTTTTAACCATAGGTTAGTTTTATCTATTTTTTTTATTATTTAAACAGAAAAATAGAAAGGAAATAAAATAAAATAAAAGCAAAGCAGTAAAAGGGTACAAATAATACAGAATTTCAAGGAAAAAAATACAATAAGATATCACTAGTTAATAGGTTACATATTTTCATCTTTGAAATAGTTGTCCAAATTATAAGATTAAAGCATGTAAAGTGAACATTCATACAATGAGATTGAGTTTTGTCTATTCTTAAGAAGCTAAGTCTTTGAGAAAGGTCAGTTTACAAAAGTTTTACAAGCATATAGTTTACTATATTAAAATAATGTTTAACAAAATAGGAAAATGTGTCTGTATTCTTAAGGAGAAAACTGATTATAAATGCATGTATATGTTAGTCAATTGAGATTTTTTTAAAAAATCAGTCTACAAAATTTGTCTTTATGTGAGTTTTTGCTTGCATCATATAAATGTGTATACAAAACTTGCAGTTGTTCCTGACATTTTTTCCATTTGCAGACATTGGACCACGTGGAGCCCCTTCGACCCTATGAATCCTTTGACACTTTGAAACAGTTCTTGGAATATGATGGGAAAGTTTTACGTTTCTTCTGCGTGTGGGATGACTCAGCCTCATTGTTTGGAGAACGTAGAGAACTCGTCCTACATTACTTCTTATCTGATGATACCATTGAAATCAAAGAAATATTGCCAGAGAACTCAGGCCGGGATACTAGGTCATTTTTCCTCCGGAGGAGTAAATTACCCAAGGTAAACTGCAGGCACAGAATCACTTGCTGTAGTTTTGCCTGTGGGCTAAGGGATTGGGAATGTTGCTTGTTATGGCTGTGTAAAGACAGTTACTATATTGCAAATATGTAGAAAACTTTTGTTTTATATTAACATAAGAGGTATAATCAAAATACACAGTGTTTTTAAATTTTTTAAAAATTGCTACATTAAAAGACATATTGCTAGGACTCTCCCTCGAAATACTTCCCCTCTCTTCAACACACTTATCTCATGGTCTTGGCACTTTTTAAAGTAGTTCTGGAATCTTCTTTCCTGAGCATTTTTACAAGATGTAATCAGAAATAAGGTGAATGCTGCTGCTGAGCCATCTAACAGAAAGGCAGGCTTATAAAATCATCATGGTATGTCCTCATCCAATTTATTCACTGAATCTGGTATTGTATGGCTTCCAGCTCTTCCCCAAAGTCAAACTGACCATGAAAGGTACATTTTGAATCAATTCAGGACATGGAGGTAGCTACAGCAGTGTGAGTAAAAATATGTAAGAGGACTTCCAGAATGGCATCAGAAAGTTGCAAGAACAATGGAGTAAAAGTGGTGGAAATTGCTGGGCATGGTGGTGCTCTCCTGTAATTCCAGCACTCGGGAGGCTGAGGCAGGAGGATCATTGCAAGTTTAAGACTAGTCTAGGCTACAGAGTGAACCCAAGGCCAGCCTGAACTGCATAGAGACCCTGTCCCAAAAAGATTTTAAAAAATACATTTTTTTAATTTAAAGAGAAAAAAGAAAGGAAAAAAAAAGCAGTAAGAAGGTACAAGTAATACAGAATTTCAAGAAAAAAATGTACAGTAAGAAATCACTAGTTAATAGATTACATATTGTCATCTTAGAAACAGTTGTCCAAATTACAAAATTAAAGCATACAAAGTAGACAATCGTACAGTGAGATTGCAGACAGTTGCTAAAATACATTTTAAAACTAAACATTCACTGTAGTGGTTTTTGTTTTTTTTATTTTGTTTTGTTTTTTGTTTTTTTGGTGCTGGGCATCCCCAGGGCCTTGTGCATATAAAGCCCTACCACTGAGCCACATCTTCAACCCTCGCTGTAGTTTTTGATACACTCTTCCTATATCTATGAAAGTGATTCAGAGAATCTGACAAGTTGGAACATTCTGAACTTAGCACAAGCAAGGAAAAAGGTCACATGTAAGAAAAAGTGCCAGTGTAACAAAAGGGCCAATATTATTCTTGGACTTGCATGGCACACTGACATGGGGCCTCTGCAGCCTACTGAGGAGCTGATGATGCTGGTCTGAGTTGTAAACACATATGCACCTATGTTTGGATATCATAGACACACACTGTATGCACAGGAATAAGTCTTTTGAGTGCTTTGCCACCTTTATCACCTTATTTACTATTCAAAAGAGTGTCAGACTGATTTTAACAAATAATTGGCCATTTGGAGGCCAATATATCTCTTGGGTGCTGGAGGAGGAGCTCAGAACCAGACCAAATTTGAATTATAGATCTGCCTCTTAAAAGCTGTGTGACTTTTAGCAAGTCAGTTAACCTCTCTGACCTTATTTCTCCATCTATAAAATGCAGTTAACGGAGTCCTGAGGTGACTATAAGAACTGAATGGGGTAATATAGTGGAAAACTATCTGAGGCCCAGTAAGACATGTATGGACACATAAAAACACAAAGCCTTTTTAAAACTATGACTCTGTTATATTTTATTTCTGGTTTGACTAAAGTACTTTTTAACTTAGTTCTTAGAGTTCCTAAAAAGGTTACTGCAGTGTTCATTCCTTATTCACCTAATTGCCAGCTATCCTGTCTTCCCAGGAGGCTGATCTGGCTTCTCCACGTCCACTGCCAGAAGTTCTGCTGGGTGGCTTGGAGACAGGGAGAGACAGTGTTGTCCCTAAGGAAGTGTTGAGATTAGCACAGCAGGCAGCCAAGAGGTGCGAGGAAAGCTTGTTTTTAAAATGGCTTTGAAAAATAGACTAAATATAAACAATAGAGACACACCTGACATTTACAGTGTACCCTGCCATCAGTTACTTTGTTTTATTTATTCATTCCCCAAATATTTATGGAGGGCTGAGTATATACTGGCTCTGGTGTGACAGTGTGAAGGTAAATGAAGTCCTGCTTCATGGAGGTTAGATTTTCATGGGGAGAGAGACAGCAGGGATGGGTGTTCTCTTGACACTGTGTCCTTTGAGAAAGCAGAGGAAGTGATGCAGGAGAAAGAGATGAAAGAACTAAAGCTCTGAGAAGATACCTTCTTGGCCACGGGGCCTATAGCTAGTAAATGGTGAAGAGCGTTTGTGTCTGAATGTACTGTTCTATATTACATGGTTTGCTAATGCCACATGTCTCATAAATTTCACACATTTAGATTTCCATTTTTTGTCATGTAGCTTAGGAGTCAGATTTTTCATCTGTGTGTGACACTTTTGATCATTATCAATTTACATAAGTTAAAGAAAGTATTCCCTGCAGCTCATACTATTGCTTGAAACCACCTCCACTGCATACAGGACCAAGCAGGGAGCCAGTATGTTCCAGGCCACATTTTTATTAGAGCCTTACCCATCTGTTGCACCATGCGGCCTGGTGGCCAGCAGGGACTCTGCTTACTGAGCAGAGTACTAGGTAAAGAATGGAAGCAGGTTTTCTTTAGGAGTGGTGGATGAGTAGGTCCCTGGGAGGGATTGTAAGTCACTGGAAAGTTGATTGCTGCTGAAAACATTAAAACACCACAGAAAGTGGTTGAACGCTATGGCAGATACTGGTGAAGTTTGGATTGGGGACAAACAATGGGGTGGAATGTGCCTAGTGACTTGGTGAAGGACTGAGAGTATGGTAACCTATAGGCTGGGAGGAGGTGAGAGAAATATTGCGCTTCCTTAAGACCACGAAGGATGCACAGAGTGTAGACCAGCTCACAGAGGATTTAGACAGGAGGATGGGGCCTGTGTATTTTCCTCTGAATGATAGAGAAGAACCATACAATGTATATTTCTCATATGTGTTTCTTGATTGCACCATCTCCTTGTCTACCACACCTTATTTTGATTTTGTCTTCCAGTATGGCCCACCTGGAGTCTATCAACCGGGCCAGATAACGAATTATTCAGTTCTCAATGTGTTTGGTGGCTTGTCCAACCAGCAGAAGTATGGCTTCATGATGGATAAGCACAAGGCAAGCACTATTGCATTTTCTTAATGCTTCTAGTGTAACTTCCCCAGAACTTGAGTAGTAGGGCGAGTTATATACTTTCCCTTGTGAATTTTGAATTCAATCCATGACTACCTAATGTATTCATACATTGTATAGCATTTAGCAATAATGAACGTGCTTAAGTGCATATACAAATATATGTATCTCATCATTGTTGACAAGCACTATGGCTTTAAAATAATACTTAGAATATTCACATTAACTGGTTGCTATTTGATTTTTAAAGTTTAATTATAAGTGATATAACTGAATTTTTAAGAAAGTTTTTTTTTTGGAAAAGGGTGCCTCGTTCTTTGGAAGGTCCATGGTGCCAATGCTGTGTTCTTTTGTTTTTATTAGCTGGGAAAAATACACCAAGAATTTTACAAAGATAGTGACCTGTTTTTAGGAGCCACCATCAATGTGTGGGGAAGGAAAGTGCTCCTCTGTGACTGTGATGAATTTACAAAGTCTTATTATAAGACTAAATATGGAATCGGTAAGTAATATGTATGCCATGTGAAAAAATATTTTAAAACTTTGTTTCCTGGTTAAGATTTTACTCTGGAGTTTCTTTCATATGTTATAACTCACAATTACTACCATTTGTTCACCAGGATGCTAAAGTCACTGACGTGGAATGGTAGTGTTTACATAAAGCCTTACATACATCTTCTGTATACTTGCCTTTTTTTTAAAATTTTGAGACCAGTTTTTACTAAGTTTCTCCAGCTTCCCCCTGCCCTCAAGTAACTGAGATTTTAAGTACATGCCACTGTGACTGATATCTAATATAATGTAAATGCTATGCAAACATAGCTATATTTTTTTAGGGGACAATGATAAAAAAAAGTCTGTAATGTACAGAGAGCTTTTTTCCCCCCTCTCTGAATCTTTTCAATCTTTACTTGGTTCTATTTGAGCATGGGAGCTCATAGATCCCATGGATTGATTGTACTTCTTTGTGAGCCTTGGACTATTCTTATGGGTGCACTTCCTTGTGGGATGAGGTGGAGCCAGAATCAAACCCAGCTGCATAGACAAGGTCTTTTATGTCTCGAAGAGGAAGCCCACCTTCTGTGTTTTGGTGCAGGAGCATAGCTAGAGTTCCTGTTGCCCTGGTGATCCTTCAGTGCAATGATGGAGACCACTCAGTACAGTTTGTGTATAAGCTGTCTTGCAGCTAGAGACACTGCTGTGTGCATATGCACACAGGAAACCATAGCTTAGCTCAAAACAACCATAAATCACTATCACTACCAGTTTTCTTTTAGCTAATAATGCTGCCCAGAATATATGCCACCCTGGGCAGGTCCTCCCCTCCCTCTGTTTTGATGTCCCCATTGTATGGCATTCCTGGCCTCCTGGAAATCTTTGTGTTGTGAGAAAAGGCACACAGAGGGGTTAAAACAAAATCTTTCAGTTTTATTTGTGGGTTCATTAAGGAAATTATTTCCACTGTGTCTACATGCTAGATTGCTCAAGATGTGTGGGTGCCACAGGGACCAAATTGGTGGCCTCTTCTTATTTTCTAAAATTGATTCTCATTGGTGGACAACTGAGCATATTTACTTTGGTGATACAGGCAAGAAGCAGCCAGGGATGTGCAGGTAGCGGGCTGCTGTGGAAAAGCTGCTAGTAGTAGCCTTTTGTCATTAGGAAGAAAAATTCAGTGTATAATAAGTGCAGATGTCTGTTTCAAACCAATACAGCTTCCATACAGATTGAAAATTTGATAATGTGTCACTGAAAACTTGCACCTGAAGATTACCTTTACATAAAGGATGTGAAAGGTTGAAAGATTACCTTTATATAAAGAATCTGGTAAAGATTCTCAAACATCGTGTAATTGCTTCAACATGGAGTCTAACATTTGGCTGATGTTTGTCGGTTTGATTTTGACAAAATAAGATTTGCATTAGTGAAGATGAATGTTGTAGTGAAGCAACTTGGTAAATTGTCTGTGTCTTAGCAACTTCTACAGGGAATTTTCTAGGCAGTGTGAACCTGCGGGTAAGCTCCAAATGTGGCTGTCCTGGATAGATGCATCAGCTTGAAATGCTGTGGAGTCCATTTTAGTTGAGTCCTGGTGCCTAATTTCCAGTCTACTTCTTTTGTTCACTACATAGATGTACTGTATTATGTTTTTAAAAATTAATCTGTGTCTTTAAATCTAATACAACATGAGTGTTATACATTTAAACAGAAAATTATGGAAATGCAAAATTATGCTTCATTTCATAGTCACTGACTTTTTATATTTTTATAACATATGTTAAATTATCCTATTTAATAAGACACTATTATTGTACAATATCTTGAGTTACAACTTGTACTTGATGTAAGTAATGGCTAGAAATTATATCTATGATGGAGTGGAGGGAAGTGAGAAATACTCTCAGATAATCTTTACAGTGGCTTTAAAAAACATGTTTTGATAAGGCTAAATTAATATACTTAATGTTACTTACTTATTTCTGGCATTTAAAATTTCAATTCAGTGATCCTTGTTTTTTGTCACTAGTTTCTATGACATATTGCTAAAAGCAATAAGCATGAAAAAATTCAATCATATAGCATTACAGTTGACAAACATTTAGAATCAATTTAAAAGAAGACTTCCTTCAGTATTATTGTTTTGGTGGGGCTTACATTTCTAAAATAACTAATGTGGTTTTAAAAATTTGTAAGACAGTATACATTTTATACATTTTGCTTTGGTTGAGCATGGAATGGCAGGTGGAGGCCATGGGTAATTATGGTCCTGTCAATAATTACAGTCATATTTTCTCCCTTGTCAGTTACTGTGGTCAGTAGAATACTTAGGTGTTGTCACTGTGTAGCAAGCCAGAAGGAGCTGACAGGTGCCAACAACACAGTCAGCGACCTCTGTGGCAGGTAGCCAGGGACAGATTGCTAATGCATTATTCAGCCTTGATGCTTTAGATCCTGTTGGCACCCCAGCTTATTTTGGGGAAAGAAAAAATGGCAGATAAAGAGGAGTTGCCCATAGTCCCAAGCAAGGTGCATGGACAGCCTTTCTATTTTTGTAGAAACAAGGGCTTAATAGAATTATGAGACATTTGAGCCCCTGTGTGGAATCCAATCTGGCTCTCAAGTAATTCTTTCAGTGGGGTGTGATGGCATATGCTGGTGGTTCTAGCACTTGGAAGGCTGAGGCAGGAGGATTGCGAATTCAAGGGCAGCATGAATTACATAGTAAGAGCTTGTCTCAAACCCCACCTCTCCCTGAAAACAAAAGAAAATAATTCCTTTTGTACTTAGTTTTTGGTTTTTAAAGACAAGGTGTTGCATGTAGTTTACACCACCTTTGAACTCACCATACGGCCCAGGTTGCCCTTGAACTTGCAGTAATCCTTTTGCCTCAGCCTCCCAAGTGCTAGGATTATAGACGTGTGCCACCAACACCCAGACCTTCCTTTTTTGTATTTTAAAAAAAAAATTTTCATTGCTGTTTTTTTGAGATAAGAACTTGCTACATAGTTCAGGCTGACCTCAGACTCATCCAAACCTTCCATCTCAGCTTCCTGAGTGCTGGAACTATAGGTATGCACCACTATACCCATCTTAAAAATCTAAAGGCAATTTGATTCCATAGAGTTTTTGTATGTCACAGCCCAGTATGACTGTTCCATTAGGCAGTTTGACTATCATGATTGGCTGTAACAGGTACTCCCGCAGTATCCAATATGGTTGAGAATGGACTGGCAGGTGGAGGTCTGTAAGTCTTTGTAGGGTGAAGGTTAGAAAAGGCTTCAGAGCTTCATCAAGCCTTTCTTCTACTAAAGCCAGGGATTTGAAAGTCCTTAGCTTGGGTAATTATTTTCTCTTTATCTTGTTCTCTTTTTCCTTTTCTGTGGTTGTTTTTTTTTTTTTTTTTTTTGGTACTGGAGATTGATCCCAGAGCCTCACACATGTTAGGCAAGCACTGTATCACTGAGCTACATTCCTAGCCCTTTTTTGATGAACCTAAAAATTTTGCTTCTTTAACCTTCCCTATATACCAAAGATGGTTGATGATTAAATGATTTCTAAGAACTTCAGAGCTCCAATATTGTGCAATTCACTATTTTACTCCCAAATAAAATTTGAAATTATTTGACTTAGATATTGGTACAAGCAGAGGCAGATTTACCTTGAATGAATTACAGTCTTTAGAGTTCTTCCTTTGTGACAACCCTAGCCCAAAGCCTTGGGTTAATTTTGTCTTAATAATTCAGCATTTTTTGTCTTAAAAAGCTTTTTTCAAGTTAAGTAAGATATAGGCTCTTCTCAAAGCCTGGCTCAGTCTCTGGGTCACTAGAACAAGAGATGAACTTTGAGGTAATTGAAGGCTTTTCCCAGTAGTGCTTCCAGTTGAGTTGATGAATGGAAAATCACCATGAAGGAACATAAGAGGACTCCAAAGACAATTAACTTGTCATTCAGATGTGGGCCCCTGCCATGGTGAATGTATGCAAATTATCTGGAGCAATGATATTTAAAGTTGGATCTTGGGCCAGCTTTCCAGTCATCTATGTGGTGTTACAAAAGTCACGGGTGATGGAGTGCAACGGTTCTCAGATTTTATACACTAGATGGCACTGTGGGTGCAGAGGAAAACTAAATTGGTTCTTTTGTTACTTAAATCTAATGCAAAGATTAGGTAGTTGAGCAAACAACACTGTTATAAATCCTCTGGTGTGGAGTGTGGGGGGGTGTATAGAATACACTTTTAATTACATTGCAGTTCAGTTTTTCTTTTGGTTTGGACTGCTCAGATTAGTACATAGAGTAGTATATGTCCCCTCCTGTAGGAAACTGCCCATGGCCCAGTTTTATAACTCATGTAGGCCCCTCCTGCCACATGCATGGTTCTTGTCCTGAAATGAAGGTACCAGACAGTGATGTATTTGATGTAACGATGAGCAACAATAGAGTCTGCTGCAATTCTGTCTAATTCCAAGTTTCAAGCTTTCCTCTCAAGTTGTCTCTTTAATTACCATAAAAATAGCAGAGGACAGGCTCACAAAGTCTGCACAGGCATGCTGGTTACCCCTTCTCACCAAGCCAGTGCAAAAATATTCGATGGCATGTTCTCTTTGTCAAATGTCTGTGGCAAGCATTTTCTGTTAGGATGGAACAATGCTCTTGGGGATTGTGCTTGGGGGAATTTCACACAAAGGCTGCTAGGAAGTCTGAGAAAAGGTAAAAGCTGAAAATGTTTCCAAGTTCAGTGTTGGAGATAGATGGGCTCCACACTCAACCTTTTGATAAATCAGGTTTTTTTAAAAAAAATTCACCTCCTTTTTTTTTAAGGGTTCAATTGTCTTGGGTGACAAATTGATACCCATTTTCTGTTATGGTGGTTTGCACTAAAATTTGTACTTTTCATCTATTAGAGATTTGAAAATAGAAAAGGAGATCTTGGCTTATTCAGGACTCCTTTGACAACTGAAACACCTGTGACTACTACAGCTTGGAGAAGAAGTGGAAAGTGGATTAGGTAGTTTGGCTTTGTGCTAGCTTCTTTGCTTTTTGTGGTGGGGCAAACATAGTGACTTGGGTAGTTCAGGCCAATCTGTTACTTGTTCTAGAAAGCACAAGTTGCTTCTCAAACATTCCACAGCGTGGCAAATACGTACACAAGAACTTGTGACTATTACAGATATGTTCCAGGTCTCTCATCACCTCTCCTTCCTCACAGACGGTAAATACATAAATAAATCAACAAATCCAATCAGTAGTATTTAGCAGTGAGCATTCTCCCCAAGAGAGTAGACAGTTGGGTATTTTGTAAGTTTTCATGGTTTTTTGTTTGTTTTTGCTTCATTACATTTGAGTCCATTTGCAGTCTTTCCGTGGGTGTGACAGGAATGGCCTGCAGCAGTAGTTGGTGAGAAGCAGAAAGTTTTATTTTTCCATTTGTTTTTGAACTAGATAGTAAAGCAGCCTGTCCTCTGGTTGAGTTAAAGGAGGAAACTGTAAAATTAGGTCTAGGAGCAGGAGCTGGCAGATGAGGAAGGGGAAAGGTGAAATAGTCAGGAATCTTTTCTATTTGGGGAAGAAGTTTATTAGTGAGTGTTGACTGAAGGTAGGAGAGGGCTAAATTACAGGTCAAAATATGGAACGGATGGCATAAAGTTTCACGTTTGAATTTTCATTCATTAGAAAAATCGGGAAGAACAAAAAAATTCAGAAATGGGGATGTGATGACAAAAGACAAATGTTTACTTATTGACACAGATTTTTGTTTTCTTTTGAACCAGTGGCCATTATTGAGCTCTGTAGTTTTTGTAAACATGATTGAAACCTACTCTCTCACAGGATTTTGTTATGTTTTGTTTGAAAGAGTTTAAAATAGTCTACAAAGATCTCCATGTTCATGTTGAAATCATAACAGATCTTTCAAAACAGCCATAATCAGGGCGAAAAAAAATATTGATGTTTTGTTTGCCTTTGTTTTGTTATAGAGAACTTTACCTCTGTTTCATGCAAGCCGCCGCCTCCTCCAAAAATAGAAAGGAAATTTCCACCTTACAGTGGCTTTGGGTCTGAAGAGGATTCTCTCCGTTCCTGCCTATCCCTTAAGCCCATGCCTTACCAGAAGAAGTTCCCAAAAGAGGACAGGTACTTGTGGGGAACCATGATTTTAGTCCTACTTTTTCAAATGTGTTTGGGGTTTATAACATAGCTCTCAGGGTGACACAGGTGTTACACAGCTCAGTTGATCTCAAGTCTAAGTACACACTGTTGTAGCTTTTTAAGTGAAGTTGATTAACAGGTAATTATTGCCATGTTTTTCCTTGAGTGCTTATTTAAATGTGTCATTTGGAGGGCTTCAGAGTCACATTATTGACATTCTGTGTTGCCTTTCATATCTTTTTATCTGTTTGTCTCCTGAAGATAGTCCCTCGAAAATGATGTAGACAAGGAGTCGGCAAACTTAAAGGGTCAGATAATCAATATTTTGGGCTTTTGGGTCACACCAGCTCTGTCACAACCACTTAGATGTGTTGTAGTGTGAAAGTGGTCATAGAGTGTTAACACATGTGACTGTGTTTCAACAGAACTTTTTATGGACACTGACATTTGAATTTCATAGGATTTTTACAAAATATTATTCTTTTGATTTTATTTCAACCATTTAAAAAGGTAAAAACCACATACCTCACAGGCCGTACACATACAGGTGGTTGGCTGTATCTGGCCCAGAGACTGTGGTTTGCTGACCCCTCATACAGAGATTTCAACAATTTGTGTTTTTCCAAAATCTTATTTTGGCAGTTAATGTTATTTTGATTTGAGAGATTTTGCTATGTTCAGTAACAGTAGATTGCTCCTATAGCTCAATATGTCAAAAATGAATTTTTCAAAGTATCCCCAATATACCTGTGTTAGAATGTGCCTCTTGAGTCACGAATATAGAAAGTGATCTCTGCCCAAGGCTACTTTCTGCTTCTTCAGGGAGAGCAGGCCTTGGAGAAAGGAGTTAGGGAATAGCTGGTGGGAATATTTTGCAGATGATTGAATATGATATGAACTAAAACTTGTCCTGAGTGAAGGAAATCATGGGTTGGGAGATACTAAGGAGAAAAATTATAAAGGGAATAACACTAGAAGAAGGAGTAGAAAGGACAATATCCTATCAAATCAAATGGGATTGGTTATCTACAGCCTTCGAACCCCTGAAGGAGGGAGAATAATAATTGTACTGTCTCTATAAAAATGGTTGAAATCTCATATTGAGAATTGTACAGGATGTTAAAAAGTCTGCTTTTGCCATGTTGTTTTTCTTGTTCAAGAAACAATCTTGGGGCTTTGGAGTTTTATTTAAGACATAAACTTCGTGCTACTCAAAGTGTGATACTCATACTTGTTAGAAATGCTAATGATTGTGTCTCCCTCCTACTAGCTAAGACAGAAGCTTTGGGAGTGTGGCTTTGCATTGTTTCCCTGGCCATCAGGGCAATGATTTTCATCTCAGGAGAGGGATACTAACTTTCTGGACATCCTCCCTCACTTACGCCCCAGTGTTTGTGGGGAGGTTCCAGGGTTGGGCTCTTGATGGATGCTTTTCACTAAATGCTGTTTTTAAGGGCAGCCGGCTGAAGAAGGTAAGCAAGAAGAATGGCCCTATTGTAAAAGGAGAGAGACGTTTTCTTATAAGTAAACAGGATGAAATGGTATCCAGAGCTTTGCTTCTGGAAACCAGGGGAAAGCAGTTTTTCCTGGGCAGTTGACTTAGTCTCTCTGTCTACCCTGTGTACATTCACTCAAGAACCATGACTGCAGACAGCATTCTACATTCGTGTTGTCTCCATGGCTGAAGGATGGTGGTATAGCCACAGATGTCTCTAATTTCATTTCTTTCTGTCCTCTGCTCAGTCTGTGCCAGGAAAACACTTCCCTCAAGCTCCTCCCACACAGTGACCTTGTTGTTTCCATAGTAACTGCACATTCGGCTGGAGACTCATACATGAGTTTGAATGAACCAACATTTCAAAAATGTGATAACCTAAGGAGGGTGATCTCATAAATCTTACAAAGGATGGTTCCTTAGCACAGATAAAAAAACTGTGAACTGGGACATGAAATTACATATGGCTTATACTGGTTTTATTTATTTCTGTTAAAACAAATTTACTGAGTGCTATTGTTCGGAGGTTAATGCTGTCTACTATGAGTCATTGGAACAAATTTCAAATTAAAACATGTAAGGTTTTTGATGGCCATGGAGATCTTTATTGTCTGGGTAAACTTCACTATAGTGGCTTGCTGGGCAGATTGTCTAATCTTGGGACAACCAGAATAATACCCTTCTCACTGCATTGTGCTGAGTTAGTTTTACTTTGAGTGCCTACAATACTCTGCTGATTATACCTCCATTAATATTACTATCATAATTAGTGATTACTGTGCACAAACTACTGTATAACATTTCAACTCATTTACTCCTCAAAATAGCCTTGCAGAGTACATGAAATTATTACACCTGTTCTTCACGTAAGGAAACTGATGCTCAGAGAGGCCCTGCTACTTCCTGAGCTCACACAACTAAGTTTTAGTTGAACTTGGATTTGAATGCAGCGAAGTCTGACTTCTGGACTCCCCTTCCTCCCATGATAGGGGGATTACTTGTTTATGCAATTTGTGGGCTCCCCAAAACTTAGAAGTCCTTAAGATTAGGACTCCTAAGAGAACATTGCTGGCTATGTACTTAGGAGCCAATAAATGTTTTGTACAATAGGAAAAGGAGTAGATAAATAAATGAGCACAGTAAGTAGAGTAAGTATTCACTGGTCTGGTTAGTAATGGTATCTCTAGAAGGTTCAGATGACTTCCATTAGGAAGGCTGTTATCCCATACTTAGGCAATTTGTGACTATTGACCATCCAAAAACTCATAGTTTAGTCTTAGTCTCTTACTTGTTTCAGATACTGTCCATTTGTCATCCCTATCAGCCATCCACCCTCTCTAAAAACTTTCCCCATTGACACAAATAAGCCTTCATGTGCATTTCAGCCACAAGACTTTATAGCTGTAAGTGTTTTTGAGTGATATGTAACTCTGCTTGAGTCATGAATGTTATTTTAGTCAACCAATATTTCCTGAGCTCTGACTTGGGTACTTGTGATAGGTTGGTGAACAAAACAGACAGGAAGTCCTGCCCTCACAGAACTTCCATTCTGGGTGTAGAAGGTATGCAATAAGATAAAGATAATACATAAGAACCTTAGATAGTATAAAAAAGGGGATAAGTGCCATGGACAAAATAAGGTATTGAGTTGCTATAAAAAGGATGAAAGGGAACTAGGAGTATGGGCTGACAAACACCACCAGTCGCAATTTCATTCATTCATTCACTCAGTCACTTACTCATTCATTCATTCATTGGTGGTACTGTGGATTGAACCCAGGACTTTCCACTGAGTTACCTTCCCAGTCTTTTTATTCGTTTATTTATTTATTTTTCTAATTTTGTAACAGGATCTTGCTAAATTGCCAAGTTGCCCAGGCTGGGAATTTAACTCAATGATCCTCCTGCCTTTGTGTCCCAGAATGCTGAGATTCTAAGCATGTACCACTGCATCCACCTTGATTGCAGTTTATATAGTGTGTTTTGATGCACCTCACTGAGGAGAGGAAACATGTTTCTAGAGGCTGAGGCAGGAGGATTGCCATGAGTTCGAGGCCAACCTGGCTACATATGTGAGTTCAAGGCCAGCCTGCACTACATGGTGAGACCCTGTCTCCAAAAGGAAACAAGTATCCCAGCAAAAGAAGATGGTTATTTGTGCCACTTGCTGCTGATTAGTCAAATTAGATATGGGCAAAGAAATTAAGCATTGGATTTGGCATTGTGAAGATCATTGTTGACTTCTACAAGACGGCAAGAGCCTTTTAGTTAGAGCAACCCTAATGGAAATGGATTTAAGAGAAAATAAGACAAGAATTTGAAGCAGTGATTATAGATAACTCTGCACTATACATAGAAAAGTCATTATGTGGCTTCGAGATCTCGAAGTTTATAATAATTTGCTTTGGGATAATATGAATAAACACATTATTTGAAACAATCAAACAGAAAAGTACATATAGTGCTAAATTTGATGCATTGTTGTGGTTGGTGCATGAGGTGATCAGCTGGGAGGGCAGAGTATAGTAATAAGATGTATTCTGGAAGGTTGATAACTAGCTTACATATTCAAACAAATATCTGAAGACAACTTGTAGTGTTTTTGCATTGTGCTCTGGGGACTATGTCATCAAAATTTCCTGGGATGCTTATTAATGCAGGTTTCTGGAGTTGCAAGTTGACTACTAAGTCAATATCTCTCAGGGTGAGACTGAATTCTGCATATTTAATAAGTTTTCCAGGTGATTTTTGTGAACTACTAGTCAAAAGATTTTCCTGAGATTATATTATAGATTGATGAGATCTCTAGAACGTAAGAATTATGTGAAAAATGGTACATTGAAAAGTCTACCTTAACACATATACTTAGAAATTTATGTAAGTGCTAAGAAGTTAAAATTTATAGTAGTATTCGTTTGCCCTGGATCAGATCTCTTTCAGTTATTACAGTGATATTTCGGGCATCTGAAAAGTTATGGGTCTTTCATGAAAGGGGCTGCTGAGTCTATGTGTTAGTTGCTATTCCAATTATGTACCAGAGAAGATGGTTGAGAAAGTATAGCTGGCCCCCAGTCCTGGGAACTAGGCACTAAGAAAACAGAGCTGTGGTGCTGGGCTGTTTTGCCCAGCTGCCTTGGGGCTAGCCTTACAAACTGCTGAGCTCCGTCTCCCATGACGCCTCAAGCTGGGAATCTTGGCCCTATGCTTTCTCAGCCCAGCTTCTGCAACAATCCAAGCAAAGGGTAGAGAAAAGCACTTTCTGCCTCTGCAAATCAAAAATATTTTGTGTGTTTTTTTTTTCAATCACCATGAACACAAAGAATGAATGTCAGCATAGGAGAATCTGCAAGTGAGGACCATTCTGCCTAGTGTTGTGACAGGAAATGATGAAGGACATAGTTGATTTTATTGTGTGCTTCCTTGGGTAATTATTTTGTTTAATCAAAGACCTTACTATGCATTTAACTATTTGATATAAGATCCTTGTTTCACTAGTTGGTATCTACAGATGTGGTTGTGCTAAGGGAGTGTAAGTTAATTTCTTCATTGATTAAGCGATCAACTTTGGGAACTTGTAATTCTACAGTGTGATCCTGTCTTGAGCCTACTGTTCTATGTATGCATAGAGTTTTTAAGTGCAATTTTTAGAGTATATGGGCATAACTTTCTACACACATTTAACATAAGTGGTACTTAGAAGGTTTAAAATTGTTTTATTAGATAATGATTAATAAGACACCATGCTTCCCTCTGGAAAATAAACTGAACATGGCTACTTAGAATATAGGTGATAAGTGCTGTTAAAAAGGGGTGTGTCTATAGTATTTGTCCCTGGAAGGGAATGGGGAGTGATACTTGGGAAGTGGAGAAGAGATTGCGGGGGCATGAGACAGTGGGTGATCAGATAGGGAGGTGGCTGTAGGCACAGGTAGGGCACACTGTTTGGATTGACTCAGGCCACAGGGCTAGGCACTTGTGCTTCTATCTGACATGATCATTGTGACTGTTAACAGCTGTGTGTTTAGAGAACAACTAATTAATGTGGCTAGTTTGAGTAGTGTGTTCATGACATTTGCATTGGATACATTTCCCCAGTGTGCTATTCAAGACATGTAAAGAATAAGAGGTATTTTAATATACTGAGAAAATCTCTCTGTATTTATATTTAGAATCTTACTAATATGATTTGATCCTTTCACTTTGAAACGTTTAAGTTCTTATATTAAATCTGTAGCATACACTTTTGCAGACATTTTCAACATATACTATTTATGGAAGAGTACTTGTATAATGTTCTACCCCTTATTTCTCTTCTATTTAGCTATGGCAATATAGGCAATGTACTCCGTTTTTTTGCAAGACTGATCACAGTCAATTGTGCTGATGCAGACAGGATGTTCGTTATTTCATATTTTCTCAATGATGGCACACTTTCGGTGTTTGAACCTATAGAGAGGAATTCAGGTAAGAGGCATCATTCAGTTTTTTCCTCAGAACATTGAATCATCACTTGGAAAATTAGAGAATATGTTCTGATTTCATAGCTTAGTTGATCTACAGTAGTGTGTGTGTGTTAACCAGCATACTATACTTCTTTTCACAAAGATACCTAAAATGGGGATCCAAACACGTAAAATGTTAAACAGAACAGTTCTATAAGTTGTGGTTGTCTCAGCCCCAGGGTAAATCCTCGCTTCCACTGTCCCCTCTTTCTCTGTAGTCTTTAAGGTTCTTCTGTGGAACTCAAGGGCTTCAGCATTGTGGTCTGGCTGCCACCAGTGCTACTTAGTTAGCAAGCCAAAAGAAAGTTCATGTTCTCGGTAGTTCCTGCTTACGGAATTATTGTTTGAGTGGAAGACAAGGGTCCCAAATATACAAATCTAATCTTCACAATCTATCATTCTCCATCTTTGCCTTTGTCTATTGAGACTGTTGCTGAAGTTGCAGGCCCTAGGTCTATAAGATGCTCTCCACAGCCATTGCAGAGGAGAACCACTGACTTAACAGAACTACAGTGGTACCTCAGTTCCCGAATTTAATTTTTGCACAGTATGGTAAGAAGCCAAATGGGATGTGAAGCAAATCAAATTCAATGGTTAGGATCAGTGTTGACCTTTAAGGGGAAATTTGATTGGGTTCTCGTCCCCTTCTTTTTGTGACCAGGAAGGTATTAAGAGTTAAGTTCATGGGCTGGGGATTTAGCTCAGCGGCATAAGCACCTGCCTTGCAAGCAGGCAGTCATGAGTTCGATCCCCGGTACTGATAAAAAAAAAAATTTATAAAAAAAGAATTAAGTTCATGAACCAAGGTACCACTGTATAGGGCCATTCTGTTCTTTATCTTGAGCATGTTTACAACTTTTGTCTGTGCTGAATATTTGGGAAAAGTACTCAGTGATGTTCTGGTTAACCAACTCCTTGAAAAAAAATTAAAAACTTTGACTGGTACTGTTTAACAATTTTCATGGTGTAGATATTCCAATCATGACCAGTTTCAAGAAGCCCAGTTTAACACCTGGCTTGAAAAAATCCCTGAAAATTTAACAATTAATTCCTGTGAGCTGGTGTGAGCCATTTAGCACCACCACAAGTAATGAATAATTTGTATAAGTAAGTCAGCCACCACAATGAGTTGAATAATAGAAAATCTTAAAATAGGAAAATTGAATAGGGAATGAATATGCCCTGCAAAACATTTAGCTGTGTACAGCTAGAGTAGGGAAAACGATGCCAAGCAATTTGCAGCCTGTATAAGACAGAAAGGGAGATGGTGGTAATCCATTACTAGCTTCTAGTAGTGGCAGCTATCACCCAGTACCTACTGTTATCCTTACTTTTCAGGTTAAATTTGTGCTTCCCTACTAGGTCCTCCAAGAAGCAAATGCTGAGACAGGATTAAATGTGCAAGAGATTTATTAGGGGAAATGCTGGTGAGGGAAAGTGTGGAGTGGGGCAAAGGATACTGGAGAGCCATCAGACTGCAGTGTAGTTCCGACTCCAGTGTCAGAGGGAAGGAAGAAAAAGGAGGTCTTAGACTGAAGTGGAATTTTAAGGTAGTTTCTACGAGACTGAGCCAAAGTTGCTATGTGGAAGAGACTTTATCTTTGCGAGAAGGAGCCTTGCATAGTCGTTTGTTGGCAGTGGCCTTTGGGAAGCATGGCCTTTGCACACAACTGAGAATGGATCATGGCACATGGCAGGTAAAACCTGCCATCAGTTATGTTCCTTCACAGTAGGTGATCTGAGAGGGATCCTGCCCCATCCCCATAAAAATTTTATTCCCATCTTACCAGTAAGAATTCATGGAGAGTCAGAGAAGTCAGAAAGCCCTGAGAGATCGTCCAGTAGGCAGTGACAGAGCAAGGAGGGACTGTAGCTCTATTCCACTCCAAGACCTGTGTCTTTCCAACACCTGTGGTGTCTGAATATGGTAGCAGGAATGTGATGAAGCTGACTGCCAAAGCTCGTCTAGTCTCAGGCTGTATTCATAAGGTACTGGAGGCTCCTGTTCACCTCTGCTTGCTATTTTCCAAGAGGTCACAAAATCCATAATGCCTGGCAGAAAACAGAAATGGTGAAGATTCTGGAAAATGAGAAATATGTGGCCAACCAAAGATCCTTTCCCTGTAGGAAAAAATGAGTTAATCATCCTCTACAGTTATCTTCAGATACTTTGGTCATCTCCAATACAGACCTCTCTAATCTTTAATCTGCATGTTAGGTTACTTGTGAGACAAATAGGTGCAAGTGACCACACCTGAGGAATTTGCTAGCTGATACTGTCTCACAGGCTTTACAGATGATAGCCCTGCAAATGAGCCACACTCCCAGTGTGCTGCAGTGCAAGACTGCAGGTCCTTGCTGAGTGCTGATTGGGCTAGGAAGGGAGAAAGGAAGGAAGGAAAAAGCTGAACTATCATAACACTTTTTTATTAAACACATTCACCTAGGAGGTCTTTTTTGCTCACCCACTGCCCGCTTCTTCTAGAAATCCATAAAACTTCACAGATACGTTGTACAGTCCATGTCTGAGGATGGAATAACTCTAAAGATGAGTCCTGGTTCTTTTAAGAATTAAGGGTACCCATAGACTTTTGTATTTTCCTACAGGGCACACTGGTGGATTGTTCTTAAAAAGAACTCGTGTGAAGAAGTTTGGGCAAGAAGTTTTTAAAAGTGAGCTCTCAGAATATATCAAGGCCGAGGAGCTGTATGTTGGTGCCAAAGTGAACGTGAACGGCAGCCTATTTGTTTTGCTCAGTGCTGATGAGTACACCTTAAACTACATGGAGAGGAATGCAGACAAGGTGAATTTACTTTGCATAACTCTTGACTTACCTCAGCCTTCCACAGTGTGTGTTTTTCTTTCTCCTGAGTGTTTTCTTCATCTTGCCACTGGTTTTACATTGTGCATTCACACATGTGGGCATGAATAATGGATCCGTGCGACTTGGCCACAGGTCCCATTGCAGAGGCCAGGTCCTTGTCTCTTCTGTTTACACGCTTGGCTCTCCATTGCCCAGCATCACAGATTCCAGGCACAGGCAGGAGGCAAGCCCAGGGTTGAATCAAGTTTCCTGGGTTTTCTGCTGACGCTAACAATGTTTTCAGAAAGAAATCCAGCAGCTATAGGAAAGGAAGAAGAAAATCTGGTGCCACATACTGTGCCATCCCAGTTAATTGGCACAGGCCAACAGAGAAGGCCACAACTGGAACAAACAGAAACCCCAAGAGAACTTCATAGTTGCTGGGATTGCAGCTTCCCATAACAGTGGCCACCTGAGGCCTAAATAAGAATTTAACTTGAGATTTGCCGCTGTGAGGTTGAAGAGTTTTTTGTTTTTCTAACTTGAACTAAGATGGGAGATGGATTGGGTTACTAAAAGTGCTATTACGGCAGTGCTAGTCAGTGAAAAGAACATATTGATAAAGTTTTGCTTTTTTCTTCGTTCAGACATGTCTGTCTGTGAATCATGCCTGCTATTGAAAAGTCTGTCCAGAAAGATTCTGTTTTAAAAGTTCACCTATAAATAATACTGTGTATCATTTATATACATGCAGTACCAATTTTGATTCATTTATACATGCAATACTCAGGGTTAAGTTGCTAGATTGTGCATCACATCGTGTCAGTTTGGATCTTTCAAGTAGCAAATGCCAAGATAAAGTTAGATATGCAAGAGGTATGTTGACAGAAAGGGCTCAGGGATAAGAGGGAGAGGGAGCAGGAATAGCATAGTGTGTGCAGGACCTTCAGAGCATGGTGCAGGGCTAAGCTTTGTGAAAGGAGAGAGGAAGGAAAAGAAGGAAGGCTGGATGGGAAGAACTTTAGCCACGCAGTGTAGCTCTGAGAAAGTTTGGCCAGGTGGATGGGGAGCCAAGAGCTAAACTGGCCTATTCAAGTGGTCCCAATTCAGGTAGGCATGGCCCAGCTCTAGTCCCTTTGTGCTCAGTCATCAGGTGGGATAGACTAGGGAGTGTCTGGCCTACATGTAAACACTGCATGGATCTGTAAGATACAGTCGCCGGATGTTGTTGGCTAACAATACTTTTCCCTGAAGGATCTTTTTTGAGAGAAGGCCCGAGCAGCACCCTCCATGGCTGCCACACCATCTCTACATTAGTAGCTGGAGATTCAGGTCATTGTAAGACCATGAACCAGTAGCTAAATGAAAACACTGGACTCTAGCAAGAAATTCAATAAACAGGCAATTAGATTTCTAGAGACCGGTAAGCAGGCCTACCTTGGAATCTGTTCTCCACACTTTACAGTGAAGAGACTCTAGTTATTTATCTTTCCTGAGCTTCAGTTTCCTTGTCTTTGAAGGAAGAGTAGCATCAGTGCCCTTTTCATAAAGTTGCTAGAAAGGTCAGGTGCTATGATAATGATTGTGAAATACTTAGCTCTCTGTGGTCCATGGTAAGCTTAGTCATTGTAGCAATAACTTAGGGTTCTGTTTCCAAGCACAGGGTGAACCTGTACCTTAATATTAAATATATACATGATTCCTGACTTAGGACTGTTGAACTTAGGGTCTTTTGATTTTACTATGTTGCAAAAGCAATATGATTCAGTACAAATTTCAAAGTTTGAGTTTTGGTCTTTCAAAGTTTGAGTTATCACAGTGTGGTCCTATCCTCTGTTGTGATGCTGGGCAGTGACACCAACAGCTCCCCATTAGCGGCATCATCACAATGGGACACAACCAGTACTGTGTGACAGGTTACATGTATTCAGTGTACTTATGACTTCAGGTATTTTCAACTTACTGTTGGTTTATTAGGACATAACCTCATCCCAATTTGAGGATCTGTATATAGAAAACATGTGTTTTTGTGGTGGTACAAATTGAACCCAGGGGCTCACACATGTGAAGATAGCACTCTACCACTGAGGTTTACCTCCATCCAAAACACATAGTTTTAAAATATAAAGAGCTTTTCTCTTTCCTCAATGATAAAAGCAGGATAGGGCATTATCTGATATCAGCATACCCAGTGAAACTTTCAGTATTTTAAAACTACTTTAAACTAATGGGGAAAGATTAATATACTTTTTCTTTTGGTTCCGGGAACCAAACTTAGGAGTAATATACTCTTTAAATACCAGTCTGAGTCTTTTCAGAAGAACTAATAGATCCCGTCATTGAAATAGGTGAATGGAAATGCCAAGACACCTGGATTATTTTGTCATAGAAAAGAGGAGCTTTATACTAAATTACCACCAATGTTTTTGTTCTAGAATTTCTTTTTCTCATTTTGGGTCTCTTAGGTTTAATTATTTATAACCTTATGCTTTACCACATTGAATAAGAAGTATTCCTAATGAGTCAAAAAGCTGGTCACCGGATAGGAGGCTGGGACAATGGGCTGCCCAGAGAATGAATGTATGGGGAACACAGTGCCTATGTGGATCTTTGACATCCAGCCTTGCTCTGATCAGTATAGGACTTGGTGGCCAACAGATCCAGGGGGACCCATTCTAAAGATGTGGAGAAAATGAGGGTGTTACGTACTCAATTTTGAATTCTCATTCTCTTCATTAGGGTCTGTCAATTCTGGGTCAGTATTGTAGGATTCCAAGGAGGAAGTAGAAGGTGGAGGCACAGACCGTTTTCTGGTCTTCATGGCTTTCTATCCCTTAAGACTAATTTTCTCAGATGTGCAGCTGATGCTAATGTCACTTGTTCCTAAAATCTTAACTCAGTAGGTAATGGAGCTAGTAATGTTTTCCATATTGGCCTCTTTGGGTTCACTGTGTGCAGTCTCTTTGTCAGCCAGTGGAAATAATTGGGCTTCAATTATTAAGAAATTGAACAACAACAAATACTGGCGTTGCTGTGATGAACTAAAATGAGCCCTCCTTCATTGTTGGTGGGGATGTAAGCTAGTATAACCATGATGGAAATCAGTGGAGATTTCTCAAAGGACTGAAATTAGAAATCCCATACGACCCAGCTATGTATGTTAGGTTTCTTCCCAAAAGAGCTTAAGTCATCATACTACAGTGATATAAGCATACCAGTGTTTAAAGCAGCACCATTTGTGATAGCTGAATCCTGGAAGCAGCCTGTATACCCATCAGCAGATGATAGGATAAAGAAAGTGTGCTATCTGTATGTAATGGAATCTTACTCAGCTAATATGAATGACCAATTTGAGACATTTATAGGAAAATGGATGCACCTGGAAAATGTAATGTTGGATGAAATAAACCACACACAAAAGCTTAAATATTGTGTGGTATCTCTCATTTGAGTGAGGCAGTGTACCACTAAAGAGTATAATAAAGGATGGATAGAAAGGGACAAGGGGACAAATTGCTTATAAAAGGGAAAGGATCCAAGGGAACAAGGGGAAAGGGCGAGGAGGAGGAGAAAGGGAAATAAGTAGAAAATGATGTCCCATGTACAGGAACCTAATAACCTCAATTAATGTAAACATAGGCACAACCTGTGCTAAGATAAAAAATATCAATGAGAATGAAACATGGGATAGGCGACCTGGAGGAGGAGGAAGGGAAGGGAGAGGGGATTTTCAAAAAAGGAAGAAATTATGTATAGGTAACCATTCCCCCAGATACGATTGTGAACTACATGAACTGCAAACATGTACAAATAAAATTTAAAAAAAATACTGGGCTCTGAAAGTCATATTTATTTAAGCATATTTATTAAAGATGTCTATCATTTTTCCCTTCTAGTTCCCATTAAGCAATATTAAACTCATCCTACAAAAGCTGAAAGAAGAAGAATCAAAATCGAGAGAGATCAAGCAAATATTTGCAGCTGCTGACTGCAACCACACAAAGATGATGGAGTTTAATGCATTCAGGTATGCTGTATTCTGCGGTGAGACTCCTTTTATCTCAAGATTGTCTAAAGAGCAGAAAGAACTGTTACTGTCCTAATGCTTCTTAATCAGTTTCTTTGCATTTGTAGTACTTTGTGGTTACGTTTTGGCCACTAAGAGTGCAGTAAATTTTATGCATTTACCTATAAGAAAAGTATATAGGTGGGAACAGAGAGACAAAAGCGTATTAAGTCACTGGATCGCATTGTCTTATTAATTTGTGATGTTAAAAGACTTGGCGGGGGTGGTGGGGTGTGCCAGGAATGGTGCCTCTGAGTGAGAAAGGCCGAAAAAAGTCCATCTGAGGGCACCCTCCAATATCTGTGGGGCAAAGGAAGGATGTCTTTCCAAGAATACAATTAAATTGGAAAAGATAGTGAAAACTTCACTGATTATCAGAGGAAAGGTGATACTTATGTATCTCTGTGTATATATGCTCAAACACATGTGTGTTCTGAAAGATGAAAATATGGGCATTAAAGGAAAATATATGACAGTAATTAGAAGTATTACAAGAAATGATGAACAATAAGATTTTCTGTAAGGTAAAGCTAAATTCTGGGGCTGTCCAGTGATTGACCTAGGCAAATTTCCAAACAGCAGAAACAGGGAAATTCAAATTCAGGGTCTAGTACAATCGTGAGAATTCTTAGCTTGAAAACAAAGTGAATGGAGCATTCAGGAGAATGTAAATTAAATCATGGATGGAGGACAAAGGGGACTTTCTCTTTAGGCTGAGAATTTTGGCTCCTGAGAACAATAGTGGCTGAAGCTATATAGTAAACTGGGCTTGATGCAGTCAAGATGTGGACTGAAGTGAGGAAGCGAGCTCAGGAGAGGGGAGCAGGGAGGTCTTTCCAACTTTGTGTCTACAGTTGTCTGTTGCATCACTACCTGGTGGCCTAGAGCCTGCCACAGGGCCTAAAGTATCCCAAGAGTTCATTTGTTGTTTTAACAAAGCTCTTTTGTATGTCCAGAATGTTCTTGTAAGAGAGGCAGTCAGAGGACATATTTTTATTGTTTAGAATTCCCAACCTTCTGGGATCAATAAGAATTTATAGTTCTTTGTTATTCTTCAGAGGCGCATACACATGTTCGTGGTGTTCTGGAAAATAAAATGCTGACAGATTAAAGGACAAAGATAATTATTCAGGCCATGAACTAATAGAAAGCAGTGGAGGAGAGAACAAGAAATTTCCATCAGAAATGAAGAAATGATTTTGTTTTATTTTTGCTTTTTTGTCCTTTTACAAAAGCATCCATTCTTCAATACTCTCACAAAGACTATTGGAAATACTTTAGTGAATTCATGGAGTTTTTAGAAAATTAGTATATATTTGCAATACACAGTAATTATATTCATCTTGGGGAATTGGTTCTTATACGTACTGCATCTTGATCATTATTATTCTCCTTTCCCCCATGCTTTTCTCTTTTCCACTTTCCCAGATCCCTTTCCCATCTCCACAAAGTCTATCTCCCTATTTCCTACCATTTCTCTTTTATTTTACTCTATAAATTATACTTTGAGTCTCTTACATAATGGAAACCATGCGATATTTAAAACTTCTGTGTCTGGTTTATTTTGCTCAAGATCCATTCATTTGCCAACAGATGACTCAAGCTTATCCATCTTCATGGCTGAGTAGTACTCCATTGTATATATATATATATATATATATATATATATATATCATATTTTCATTATCCATTTATCCTTTGATGGGCCTATACCATAGTTTGCTTGTGAATTGTGCTGTTGGAAGTATGGGAATGCACATATCACCATAGTATCATTACTTGAACTCTTTGATCATGGGATTTTTGGGAAGTACTTCAGCTTGGTAGGATCTCCAAGGAAGAGTAACTGCCCTCCAGATGGAGGCCTGACTCAAACTGTGGGTGGGGAAAAACAGTTGTCATGCTGTGTGATTGGAGGGGTGACCTCAGGCACTGCATATTCTCAAAGAAAAAGTTCCCCATCCCAGAAATTCCTTCAAATGAAAATCAACTCAGGTTATACTCAGCCTAGAAAAATCCTTCCATGGTTTGTCATTGTCCTTACAAGATCCCAACATTTGACTGCAGCCAAAAGGACCTTGAGTGATGTGAGTGTTTATAGTTCTAGTGTTACCAGTTCTTTTTCTCCAGCCCTGTCCTTTGATCTTACTGGTTGCTTTTCAGTTTCTCAATCCCATCAGGCTCCTTCCTGCCTCCAGGCCTGTGCACACAGTTGCCTCTGCTGGGAGGCTCTCACCACTGTGCTTTCCATGGGGAATTCTTGGACTCATTCCTCAAGGGGCTTTCTTTCTCTGATTATCCTGTCTAAAGTAGATTGTCCACTGTTATTCATAGCCCCTTGTTTATGTTTTTCATAGCACAGGTTCAGTTGTTTTACTTAGAGATCTGTTTACTTGGCAGAGTGTGTATTTGTATTTTCTTCCATTAGAACATGAGCTTGCTGAGGACAGGAACTTCGACCGTCTTGTTCACTGCAGTATTCCCAGTCCTTAGTTCTGTGATTAATACAAACATAGTTGCTGAATGAATTAATAAACTGATTTATTCCTTAGGGCAGTGGTGGTGAATCTGTGGCACATATGCTGCAGTGGGCTGTTCATATCACTGAAATCTCTAAAAGGTTTGCTGTCCCTGCCTGAAAGATTCTAGTTTCGAGGTGTTTGTAATGTCTCTGTGTTAGCCCATTTTTCCATTGCTATATCATAATATGTAGGGCCAGACAATATGTAGAGAAAAGAGGTTTATTTAGCTTACATTGTGAAGGTTCCAGGGCTGGTACCTTCATTGACTCAGCTCTGGTGAAGACCTCATGGCAGATGTTACTATGGAGGGATCACATGCATAAGAGATCATATGGCAAGATAGTAAGTCAGAGAGTGGGGAAGGGCCAGTATTCTCTCTTATAAAAATCTCCTTGTAAGAACTATGCAGGGTCCCATGAGAATTCCATTGATCGCTTCACAGGGCGATGCCTCTAATTACACAGTCATATCCCACTAGGCCTCATCCCTTAAAGCTATCCCACCTCTGACATTATCACACACTCTTGGGGTACAGAATCAAATCCATACTAGAGCAGTGCCCAAATGAGAGTGTAGCCATGACTCACCATGTCCTGGTCCGTCCATGTGACTTACTCAGGGTGGATCCCTGAGCCTTCTCTGCTTGGGGCTCACTACTGTCAGCTCCTGCACACTGTCTTCGTCCCTCTCGTGCTTCTCACAGTGCTGCCTGGGTAAAGACTAAGCAACTACACGAATGATCACTTTCACATCACCCCTCGATTTAATTCTTTTCTCAGCGCTTTCACTAGTAAATATTTTTCTTTCTTTTGCATATGTGTCAATGTGTTTCTGTGTGTATTCTGATTCCCATCAGAGGTTAACATCTTCGAAATTGCTACAGTCTTATCCGTGATCACAGTGCTTAACAAACTGTAGGATTAATAAGTATGAATCGGGCAGGTTCATTTTATGTAGTCCTCATTGCTTTGGCTAGTCTTTCTCCTGACCTGGAAATAGGAATATCTCTGGGATTTTTGCCCCTTGGATTCCCTTAGGCATTCCCAAATAACTTTCCTTAAATCGACCTCATTTTCCCCTCCCATAAAATGGTAGCTTGGGACCATGTCCTGGTCACTGTGCATGTTCCTTGGACTCAGGACAGAGCCTTCCTTGAGTCCCAGCATCCTTCAGTCTCACTTGTCTTACCTACTCTTTGGCACTGTACTTCTTTTGTTTTTTATTTCAAAGAGAGGAACTGCACTTCTTACCTACCTTTGGAAATTTCCCCTACTCTCTATCCCCAGCTTCACAATTGTAGATCAGCTGTCCATCTGTGTTCCCTCTGACTCTCTGGAGAGCTGCATAACTCATGTTTTCTTAACTCTCATGCTGCAGTGTTTTGCCAAAATGACCTTCCTAAAGTATGAGCAGGTCATTTCTCTGCTCTAAACCTCACATCAATTCATTGTTTTCAGGAGAAACCTGAGCTGTCCAGTGTATCATGTGAGTTTGCTCATAATTTGTCCCTTGCTTACCTCTATCTCCTTATTTCCATCTCGCTGCAAGAATACTTGTAGAAGCCACCCTTTATTGAGCATTTACTATGGGGCCAAGCAGCCTGCTAAATTCTTTATCTCTTCCATAACTGGGAGCCCTCTATGGAGTTGTTACTTGTTTACTTCCCTGCCTTCACAATCCTGCCAAGTACAATAGATGTTTTTTGAATAATTTAATGGATGATTCTATTTTGGAGGAACATTCAGTCTAAAGCTTGCAGCAGATAAATAATTGATTACTTTGCACCAGGAAGAGCCATCTGTCTTCTGCTTAGTGGAGTCAGGGAAAACTAGACCTGACATTTACCAGTCAAGTGACCTGAGCAACACCACTTTACCTCCCTACCTCCCATTCTTTTGTCTATATATCATCTCTAAGATCCTTCCTTTGCCCTGACATTCTGAAACTCTTCAAATTGTAGGTTTATCATACACTTGTAAACTGTTCCCTGTTCAGATTTGCATGTTGACATGGTTGAGAAAAGCAGAGGCAGGATTGCAGCATAGGCCACTGGGCTTTGCCTCTGTGGCCTGAGGTTTCTGTTCAGCTCAGATGCCTTCTTGTATACCTGGAGCCTCAGATCCTAGACCTGCTATGTTGTCCAAGTCCCTTCCTCGCAGGAAAACCTTGAGGACAGGGCCTAATAATCGCTTATAGTGTGGGAAATGGTTCTCTTTTTTCATTTAGGTGAGGAACATTTCTCTTTTACCTAGTTTGAGCCACCAGTTCTGCTTCTGCTTCTGGCCTATTTCACCTATGAGAGCTACCGATTATTATCTGAGGGACTGCAGAGAGTTCTTTATCAGAGCAGGGCAGATTTCAGCAGGGAGCAGGGTAGACATCAGCAGGGAGCAGCCTTAGGTTTCAGGCAGCTGAGTACATGGGTAGGGTGGGGCTTTC